GATGGGGGGGGGGGGGGGGGGGGGAAGGGAAGAAACTTTTACCTTAAAGGATAATTAAAACATCTTACCCTATGCTAATTCACTCCTTGCAACTTGTACTGGTAAGAATTGGGTAATAGGATAAGGTAGACAGTCTAGTAATAGAGAAATCTTGTGAACCTTACGTTAGTTTCTCATTCTGCTACAGCTTCCTGTGACCTCAGATAAAGTTCAGCTAGTTCCCCTTTCATATAAATACCTTCTAAATAAATGTATTCCTATACAAGTATGTAAATGCCTTTTTGTGATGGGGTAGAACATAACATTAAATATAGCTGCCAGGTATATTAAAATCATGCCAGGTAACTTAAGGAGAACAAATAGTAGTGCTGTTTCCAAGCTTGTTTCCTGAAACTAGTCATCCCTGGGACAGTGTCACCGCTATCCAAGAAGGAGCTGGGGATAATGAGGAGAAATTTCATCGTCAGTCAGAAATGCACGAAGTAGCTAAGTACTCAGCATCTTTTTAACTGTCGAGGGGACAAGGCAGTGGAGTCCTTCACCAAATACAGTCAGCACAGAAGGGATCCATCCTTCTGTCCTTGGTTATTAAGGAGACAAAGCTGCATCTCTCCCTGCATCAGACCTGCATGCATCTGGGCCTACTCACTAGAAAACTTCCCCTACAAATGCATCATTAGTATCTCAGCTTTATACTAGCACATCCATAGATTAAAACTTCTCTAACATCACTAGTATAGCAGTTGGGAATAATGTTCACAGACTGATTTATTATTTTTTTTTATTTGAGTAGAGGATGTACATATTTATCAAGAGAGACAATTCCAGTATTTTCCAGAAGCATATTGATAGACAGGAATTTTCTGGGCCACATGGTCTTTATGGTTTTGTCAGTTTTCTTCTTCCTGAGTTTATTCTGTTGTCAGAAAACTACCCTTGCAAGTTCAAACAGAACCTGTGGAATAGCAAACACATTGATAAGAATTTTTATTGATTTAATAATCCTTAAAACAGCTTACACTGTAAATGAGATAATCTGAAAAATAACTATAGCCGCAATTCAAAAGTTACTTGCAAAGAACTGAAGACTAATCCCCTTGTACAGTACATTACATTAATAAAATAATCTTGATTCTCAGATTATGAAGTATATAAATTGCACTTTTATTACATTTTCAGTGTGATAGTGGGAAAAAAACACCGACCTCTATGGTGATGAGTATTACTATCATCCACTCGAGGCGTAGAGTGTGCTTTTCATTCAGGTGATTTCGCATTAGGTCTGTCAGCTCCATGCAGTGCTGAAGCTTTTCATTCATTACCTGCAAGAGATTCCAAATACATGGCAAATCTGGATTCCATACGTGGAATGAGATCACTAAGTAAAGGAACACAATCCACAGAAGGGCTCACTGAACAGAACTAGAAAGGTGTTAATGCTCTTCTGCGAAAGAATAGACCAGAAAGTCCTGTAAGGCAATATGCACAAGCAACAGAAGTTTCAGTATAAATGAGTCTGTTATTTCAATAGGTTCACAAAAGTAATAAAAATTTAGATACGCATCTGCAGGTACTAAACTGCTTATAGGTGGTATCTACTCATGAAAACAGGCACAAGCAAAAGAAGGTGCAGCTTATCGGAATGCCTTGAAAGTAACTAAATATTTAAGGCTGCTGTACCACCAGAAGAGGTAGTTTTCTTGCCTCTTAATTCTGGTTCATCAGTAAGCATTATGTCGCCCTTCGATGAACTGACCTGAATGATCATGTCAGTAAGAAGACTGCTTCACATCTCAGTTTTTTAACTTGTTTTCTTGCACACATTTCAGAACAAGAATTAAATCTCCTCTTCTTGCAACTATTTAAAGCCTAATTTAGTGGCTCAGGAAATACACAATCCATTCATGTGAGGCAGGGTTCTTAACCTAAACTGGGTAAAAGATGTGAGTGGGTTACGAACACATGGAAAAGGGGATAGTGTATGGGATCCCGTTATTCTTTACTCAGTTTCAACAATTAAAACAGACATTCATGGAGCAGTCTGTAACCCTGCTGAGCCAAAGACAGCTGATCTAAGTGTGGACAATTCTCGTAACAGTAAGACACATACCTTAACTCTGCGATTAATGTTGAGGAACTGGCAAGTCTTGTCGTAAAGCTCTTCCAGTTTTTCTCTATCCCAGTAGAAGTCAGGTGTTATTAGCAGGTCTGAACTCAGATTTATTCGGTGTCTAAAAAGAATGGGTACTACAGTAGTTCACACTTCCTTTTGGTGAATATAGGAGCAAATATTTACATAGCAGTTAAAAGAAACATGAAAATTTTCCTGTAATTTTAAGTGAAATACGAAAAGAATCTCCTTTCATTATAAAAATACAATTGTAGTGATTGTTTAAAATTAGTCACATCTCCAGAAACTTTCTGAGAATACTGTACTGTGTAACAGTTTTGAGCATAAATGACTTTTGCCTTATGTCAACATTGCCTCCAGAACTTGTCACCTTCCTTAACTTCTGATATCTGCAGAGAAGTCCTTGACTATGCTAGTAGCTTTCTGAAGCTCGAGAAATACATGAATTAAAGTTACTGGGGAGCTCCTTAACAGCTTGTTTATATCTCAGCACTCTAAGTGTGACTGGTACTGCATATGAGCATAGCGCACCTTTCAGGCTACTATCTCAACATTATAAAGGCCTAGAGCTAAAGTCTCCCACCCTCAACCTACCGCTCACATAAATTTTTGGACACTTAGAACATCATTGTTCATTACTGAACAGTTCTTCAAGTAGGGATATAAAATCCAGTGTTTCAAATAGGAATTGCTTTTTAAATTTACCTCTTTCTTCACTGATTTTGAGGTTTTTTTGTAAAAGTGTGTGTAATGCTCTGTATTCCCAATGGCCAAATTTCACTTGAGAGGGAAAAAAACCACATTAGATTCTTACAGTGTAGCAGTGGTTTCTGAGTAAGTCAAGGGAAGAACAGAACTCTCAGAAGTTTTACTAACTCTAGGCCATAGTTAACAGTTCTACCTACCCCTGTGCTTCCTCCTGGTATCCCTTGCATACCCTAGTATCTACTGCAATTACCAGTTATGAGACATGCGTTGCTGGATCCAGGGAGGGAAAAGGGTGTGGAATTTGGGCATTTACAGTATGCTGCTCAATGCCTGTCTGTAGTTGAGATGCCAGAGGTGAGATGGTGAGCCAGTGGGTCCTCTGACTAACATAACAGCACACACAGTCTCCAGCCAAAAGAAGGCTGAAGGAATTCCTCCCCACCCCGCTGTGTTAGTGTATATTCCGGTCTTTGTATCATGCATAACTTAATTTTTAAGTTCTGTGTAATACAATGTCTCGGGTGTAGCCAAAAAAAATTACCTTAATGCGAAGAGTTCTCCAATTTTCTGCATTACATCTGCATGAGACAGTTTCACCTTCCTTCGTGACTTCAGTATCTGCAAAGTAGCATGTACTAGAAGTTAAGAAGTCTGGAGTTCTACTGCCTCAAGTATGTATGTGAGTTAAAGTCTGAATGCATATCATACTTACTAACATTTGAGTTTTGTTTGCTTAGTGCCTTGCTTAACTAGCTTTGTAAGAGTATCACCATGCAACTGTTCATCCAGGTTTTTCAATAAATCACTGAGTATGCCATCAGTATCAATACAAAATCCTGGAGCATTTTCTATGAATTTGTTTTTTCTTCCTACTATCGTTATTTTTAAGTCATGACAGTGTTTTTTTACCTTGCCACTGCTTGGCCTTTTTATAGACTTTTTCCTTACAACAGACAATGTATTACCATTTATTTCCTTCATGAAAACAAATAAAAAATAAAAATGATGATTTCTCTTTTGAACCCTACGAATCTCATTTTTATATGTGACATCATATGGACTTTGTACTTTAATTAGGTCTCATGAAAAACTGTGGTTTAAGCAATTCACTCAAACTCCTCATTATATTCAAGTTAAAGCACACTACTTTTGGCCCAGGCTGCCACACACTGTGTTTTGCCAGGTTTTTAAATGCTGCTTGTCCTATTAGGCATACACACTCAACAGTGGCACAACATGGGAAACATTATTCCAATGCAGAACCCCACTCCCAACCCTTTAACGACTGATGATTTCTTGTCCCACCATTTTGCAGGTGTTCTGAGCTTCTCTGTGTTGATGGCTTTACCATCAAACGTGTTAAGCATTCAATTGCTTTGTCCATATCCTCAGCTGTATCTGGACTGATCTTTTACAAAGCGCAGGAGAAAAGGAGGGGAGACCTCACCTCAGGAATTGACTGGATAGATTCCACAAAGTTATCCAATAATGATTCCCAAATAGCCAGCTTTACTGCAACACAGAGGTGACAAAGCAGAACACTGTCAGAGGTATATATGCTTTCCAGTAACCATAACTTTAAATTTGCCAACATGCTGCCTCAAGACATGCTGATACATACAAAACATTATCGGTGGCAAGTTACCATCAGTGTAACACAATCAATGTTCACGCATCTATGGACAAATCTGTGTTGGGCACTGACACAGTTCTGCATGCAGAACCACCTTCAGCGCAGCGCTCTTCTCCCAGTGGTCAGTTCAGATCCTGGAAAGTTTTTGCTTCAGCTCAAAAGTTGTGTGTTTAAGTGCTCTACCATATGCACGAAGCCTTTGCAAACGACATCCCAAGCAGGCTGGAGGTAATGAGCCATGCTGGCGTCAGGCTGACTTCATGTGGTGCCACTCAAGAGTCTCCACTGCATTTCTAGCGTCCTGCAGAACTCTCCATTTGTCCAGTATTTGATGCAGCATGCTCAAACCATGGAGAGTTAGCTTGTATAGACACACCACCCGCACTTTTTGAAGCTAAATTCAAACTTAAGCAATCTCCCATTTTGTTTTTAGGTGAATATACTGTTCACTGAAGATACAACTTCTCTTCTGTGGAAGCTGTTCAGCACAGGCAATAGCAACACCAATTCCACTATGCCTCAGCTTGAGCCTGGAAAGATGTTTCTACAGGAAGATGACGTAACGCAGGCCTTTGTTCTTTAGTCCGCAGATTCCCAGTCAAGAACGAAATAGTAACAGATCAAAAATTAACCCTATTCACTCAGAAAAATGAATCAGGGAAGATGTAATTGTCAAAATGAACTCTTTAGTGGTAGTAATCGATAGTATCATCTAGTCAGGACACTGATAGTAAACCCAATGGCGAGCATTTTTCGCACTCATCTTTTGAATACAGAGGCCTAATCCAAGTCAGTGACTTAAATGACATTTAATTTAGCCCTTGAAAAAAAGCCAACAGGCATTTCAGCTATCACTGATTATTTGACAGAGGCTGGTTTCTGCTGTGTCATAAATTTGACTTGGACTAGTCTTGCATCCTTTACTTCTGTTGAACATTATTGAACTGTTTTCCTTTATGATGTGCATGTCTCACACTAACGTAAATTGGTACCAATTATCTCCTGGGAATAAATCCCTTTCTCCCTTATATGTGTCACCAGTCTTCCATGCAGTGGCTTTACAAATAGGAAAACTATAGAGAACTAAAGGCTTTTTCTCTCCACAGCTCTTCCTTTGACAGTCAAGAACCACTTAGTTATGCTGTACTCCTTGATCAAATGGTGTATCACTTCAAAAACATGTGTTCTGCTTCCTGATGTCCCTTCTGTTAAAGATGCACTTCCCCAAATACTACAGGAATCCTGTAACCGACCCTACAAGCAGTAGGAGCAGACGGAGTAGATATCCTTTAAAGGTCTTTTCGAGGACGGCCTTACTGCTGCTCGCTTCAACTCCCACTTCCTACTCCTCTGAGGTCTGAAGCAGCAGAGGTGTATTTCCTGAGGCAGCAGCACCACTGCTGAGCCTGACTTCTTCCCAGTGTCTCCTGCTGCCTCCTGACAGAAGTACCACCTTTGGCAGACAGCCATGGCTCATAAGCCTGCAAAACATCATCTGTGACTCTGGTCCGCACCTTTGATACCGGTACACCTCCCCAGCTGGGAATCACTTCTTTAGCTGGCATCTAGCTTTTTTCTATTAGAGGAAATGATGTCAGGATTAATTACCGAAGATTACTGACAGGTTTCTAACATTGGACTCTACACTCGTTGCTATCCTAGAGTAGTTCTCAAGGGTGGGGAACGGTATGCTCAGTGGAATGTGTATCTTTTGCAAAGTATGTTCCTTAATGTGCTTTGCTCATATTTAAGACGATTTACATTGAATGAGGCAATTCCAATTCACAGAAAACAAGGTAAAAGCTTTGAAAACGAATCCTCCCACTGAAGCACAATCAATCTTTACACAGTTTGCCTAAACCAGACACAAAGTCTTCTCCAACCTGTCACTGTACAAGTCCCACTTACAATTTCACAAAATCTATAGCATAGGCTGATATTACAAACAATAATAACTCACCAGAAAGACAAAGGGCATTTGAAAAGGCAAATTTCTGCAGAACAACTTCATCACTATCCAGCTCAGAATTTAGTAAGATTTCTCCTTTATGAAGCTTTGACTGACCTCTGTTAAAACAGGATTGAAGCATCTTCATTGATTAAGCCACCAGCAAAGGCACATTCAAAGAACAATCAACAATGCGAGAAAGGTTGGTTGTTTATTTACATAAAGTATACCGTATCTATATGGGTATCATCCCCATCCTTGCATTTTACTCATGTTCAACCTGACAATAACCAAAACAAATCACTGAAAATTAGTCCCTTAGTCTAAGACTAATATTATGCACAAATTTTCTAGGTTTAAATCAAACTGCAGCAAGCTATGATGGTAACTACAGCATTACTATATACACACAGGGATAATTCAGAGTAAGCAGGATGCTGGCCTCTCTCCTGCTCTCTCTTGTATTATCTTTCTGTTTCTGTTTTACTTTTCTTCTGTCACTTTTATCAACATCACTCCCTCCCTGCTATGATGTTACTTTCCCCGAAACCTCTATTGCACAAGGGCCAGCAGCAAAGGGGGCACGAGAGTCGTTCAATTTATCATGCCAATCTCACTATGAAACTTGCATAACCAATGGAGTATGTCGGGAATCACAAATTACACAACTGGATAGTACATGCAGTTTTCAAATGGCCAGGTAAAAACCAAAAACCTGTCCTCTTATCAGGTTACCTTAAATAAGCTCAACCTCATTAGCTCAGCTCCTAATGGTATAGTGTCCTGTCTAGGAGTTGTTTTTTGGTGCTGTTGGAAAATTACAGATCATTTTTATAATCATTTACATTGAGAAATATTTCTGTAGAGATGATTTGCTCCCCGTGATGAAAAAACATTATTTAACAAGGCAAGACAACTTGCCAAGTTTACCGTTCCACAGTATTCAAGTTACAACTTCCCTAGGAAGTGAAGTATGTGCAGAATTACATCTTTATATATGAACCTAGAGGGCACTAAGGAAAACTTATGCAGAAAATCCTCTTTAAAATCAGATTTGCATATTTATTTTTTCTATGAGGTACATAGTTTTTGTTTGGGATTGCTGAAGAACATGTTCAGTTGTGTGGGCATAGAGCTTCATCATTTACAAAATCTAGTGCATAACCAAGTCACAAAGGCCATTACTTGCAAGTTTAGCGGTTTGTTCAGTAAAATTTGTCGATTTAGATTTACTGTTTTCCCCTTTCCTTATTTTACTCATTTGAAAAAGACTAAGGAAAAGCGTATTTTTACCAGCTGCTTTTGCTTGAATTTGTTTTAGATGTCTGTTAGCTTTTTTGTCAAGAGTGCCTGAAGATACTTACTCTCCTATCCTATAGTTCATCTCTTCGTTCTCCCAATGGACTAGTGCAACTTCATATGGCTGAATTTCATGCTGTTCTAGCACTTGCATGATATTCTTCATCTAAGGAAAAGACAGTTGCACACATAGGAACAGTTGCCATGCAGTATACTATCACTCTACAAAGACCTAGCATGTAATAGGTTGATGAATGCAACTTTCATGCTCAAGTTATTTAAATAACAACGAATAGATGTGCTAAGTAATGAAGTGATTATTAACACAATTTACTTCTGAAGCTATCTGTAGCTGAGTGGAAGAATTTGCGGCTATGAACAACTGCAAGGAATCTGCGAAGACTAGAAGTCATTTAATGTCTGCATATATAAAACAGGGTAAGGATTAACCACAGCAGCAGTAAAGACAATGTGGACGTATTCAATATTATAACAATGAGTTGTACAAGATTTTGGCTGATGTGTGGGAATGAATCTTTAGGATAAGTACATCAGGTGGCTGTTTCTGCCAAAATGACTAGTTTGCTGCTAAAATCAATAGTTTTGTTTCAGCTACCAGAGATTGGATTATATTACAGAAATCCTTTACCACTACAGAAATCTGTAAAAATGGTTTCAGCTGCCCACATTCAATCCTGTAGACAGTTAAATGTGCAATTTTACTTGCAGAAGTAATCTCATTGTCACTTTATTCTCAAGCACAGTAAAACCTGATGCAGGAAGAAAGAGCCCTTTTCTCTCACAAAACTTTCTCCTCTGACATCTGACTTAGGATCCCTATCGTTGTTCCTTTCTATCTGCTACAAGGCTCCCCTCATAAAAATCATTCTGCAATTAGAACAAATCCTGAACTAAAAAAAGCACTCACCTACAGGTTTTTAAAAGGCATTTAGCTACACAATAGCCATTAAAAAAAAAAAAACACAAACAAACACCAAAACCAAACACCACAATACACTTTCGATGCCTAAATTCTTTAAAGAGGTGAATCTTCTACTAAGTCATACTTAAAACACTCTCTTCAAAATAATACCTAACAGTTAATCTTTTAGTGCAATACTGTATGCTAGTAAATTGTTCATGAAGCATATTTTCCAGGTTAAGTATTCTAAAAAAAATCTGTTGGATCACCTGCAAGAGGGATTTTCTTTGCAGTGCTAGCTTTTTTCGTTGCTTTCAAGAATTTTGGTGATACTATCAATGTAAGACACGATAACATTTTTCACTAAAAAAACCCCAACCCTATAGCTGTAACTGCTTGTGTCATAATCCTGAATTTAATATTACCATGACTAGTACCTGCCATATATTCCAAGTCTTGTGGTAAAAAAGGGTATGAAAATTTGTTTTCATTTTTTAAGCAAGGAAGCATCTGCTGTTAGGCCAGTCAGCTGTGCTGTGTCCAGGGACAGTTCCGCAATGCAAACCCCACTAAAACAATGCCAGAGTTAATAGCCAATCCATAATGCAGCATGCCACACTTCCAAGAATGTGTTCACGCAGATCCACAGCACTAGCTTGGTGCTCTAGCTGGCTTTGTGAAGCCATTACTAATACAGTAATAATTATGCTGTTAATAGACTAACAGTTCCTTCCAGAACTACAACCAGCTCAGGCTTCCCAGGGCCAGTATAGAGCAAGACTTAACAAAGCTTTACAGACCGTAACCGATTCTGTGAAATTCGTATGCCTTGTAATATGCATACTTCCGAAGTTCTTCCATTGCTCTGGATAATGAGAAATTGTATTTCAATGACAGCTTTCTTTTATCTACTCAGACTAATACAAAGGCTTCCACTGACTAATTTTATAGAAAGGACTACCTGTGACACAGTACATTTAATGAGAAGAGATGTCCTGGACTTCCTAAATGCAAACTCTTGCTATTACAGGCAATCACGTCACACAATTTCTTTTTAAAAAACAGATGAAACTCCACCTCAAAACTAGTTTTGCTTTTTGCCCTTGCTATTTTTGGTGGGGAAGCTGTTGCGCAACCTCCCTACTCAGGTATTTGAAAACAGTATTTTACATTTTAAATTTCTATTCATGATCAGTCTGTAGTTATTACTTCTTCTGTTAAGTGTCCGTTAGTTTAAAATAGTTTTTCTTCTCCTAATAGCCATTCTGGAGTACTTTTAAAAAGCAATTTTGTCCATTCACAGTGATTATCTACATTCTGTTTTATTTAATTACTTTCAGTTTCTGTTCTATAGACTAGTTTGTTTTTTTCTTTGGTTTCAGTTCATTAAAACATGTGCATAAAAATACCTCCTCTATGTGAGCAAATTGTTCGGAGGTTAAAACTTTGACTATGATTTCAATAAGCAGAGAGAGGCAGTTTTCCTCCTCTTTTATAAATAAAGCTAGCAAGGGACCAACTAAAGTTACTAGTACTGACAAGAAAAACATGATATCAAATTTTCAAAGGTACTTAAGCGCGTACAATAAAACGAGAGTTTTCAGAGTACTCCAGCGGGCAGAGGTGCCCAACTCATAACAATCAACAGGAGTTAGTCAGCTAGTCTTCAGTAATACCTGTGAATCAGTAGCGTAGTTACAGCCATAGCATCCTAAGTGTGCTACAGGCAAGGTTTGAAGGGAGAACTAGTATCTTTTTGTAGGCCAGCTGATATACTGAAACCCCCCAAAACAGACAGGAAATCAGGAACATTTCAGGTCTGAAACAGAAAAAGTGAACTTGAATCCAGAAATTGTTCACGTCTGGAAACAACTGCTCTGTATTTTCATTTACCTTAATAAAAATCCTCCTGTGAACTTCTGTGCATCTTGGTATCATCTATTTAATACATCATTTAATTTCACATACTCTGCCTACAGATAAGATCGATACTTTTTCTCTTTGTATCCAGAATCCAGTTTTATTTAACCACAGTAATAAAAATCAATATATTAAAAAAAACTATATAAATA